GAGTGAACCAGAAGCTCAATAAAAGTCATCAATACTGTAGCAGTTCTTTGACAGAAGAAGTTGCTTCAGTCTTGATTTAAAAATGTGTACATTTTCAGAATTTCTGATATTGTCGGGGAGTTTATTAAAAAGTTTGCAGCCTTGAAACTCAAAACTTCTTTGAAAAAGAGCAGTGCGATGTTGACTAGGTAATAATAAGTGGGCATTCTGAGTAGAGTGATTATGATAGGCTCTGTTAGCAGCTAAAGTGTTTCTATTTCGATAGATATATGTGCAAGCTTCCATCACCCCTTTCAATTCGGTTTTTTGTAAATATTCCACGAATAAACTTGCATTATTATTATTTGCAATCCCTAACTATGAACACATTTCTTGCTATATAACGAGAATTCAAGTTCTATTTGCAATTGAATGAAATGATTAAAAGACTGAATGAACATTAAAATTATTATTTTATATCCATCTTTAATGTGTTTACTAGATTTTAGATTTTTGTGTTTTTCTTCTACTGAGTAGCAAACTTTTTTTGTTTGCAGATCTCTCGGGCGGCGTTCCCTCCTCAGCCGCGCACATGCTCCAGTTCTCCCCTCTCCTATACCCTTACCAGTTAGTGATGGCTCAGGCTGCTGCCAGCGGCAAGAGCAACCCCCCCGCCAACCTGGCCGACATACAACGAGCCGCCGATCTCCACCGGCAGTACCTGCTCGACATGATCCCTCCGGCCCCCCAGCAGCGTCACAACTGGAAAACATGATACATGAACGAGTATGGTGATAAAACTTAATTATTTATTGCGATTGAATGGATCGGGGCGAGCGAAGCTCGACCGGTGGATGTGATTCGTTCGTTATTACTATTATTATAATGACTACTAGATCCCATTCAATGTGGATTTTAGTGTAATGTATTGTGCGATCTGGATATTTCACGGGGAGAATCGGAACGAATATCGCTCTGTCAGAGTTCTGTTGCGCCTTGATTGGTATTTATAATTCACTGAGAAGGGTTGCTCTAAAGCTATTTCAATCAGGTCTATTCATGGGGTTTTCGTTGAAGGTAAGAGATGAGAGTAGGTTATATCGGAGCAGAGTTTTCATTTTTTTCAATACTATTAAATGATAGCGTGTTTTTCTTTGGTCCCACAGATATACGTATCTTTGGAAACAAAGTTATACACAAAAGACTGGAAAATATCAAATGGTATTTTTGACTGTATCTTCTTTATCTGCAGAGATATTGAGAAAATCTGATAGACCTGTCTCACAGCCATTTTCAATCAATCAAATATTATCTGAAGATAATAACATTGTGTGGATAAAGTCTTATAATCATTATCAGTCCAATGGCGAAAGTCTTTTAGAAAACATGCAAATAAATTGGACAATTACGATATAAATAAAAATGAAGATGTGAAATATAGAAAGCTTGATTGGATCGAAGATAATTGCGCACAAATTTAAAACATAAAATGCAGACGCAAATAACATTAAACTAAAAAAGAATGATTTGGACATGAACAGAGAACATCATTATGATTCTCCCGAACTGTATGAGAGGCCCTATTATCAAGTAGCATTTCAACATAGTTTTTCAAATAATAATAATGATTTATTATTTTCCATAACATAAAATATTATTCTATTGTACACAACTGGCAACGCAGATTATTGAATACAGACCGGTAATCATGCCAATATTTTTGAGAGTTGCCAATTTGATAATCATCAAATGAATTTTCATTTTGTTATTATGGCCTGAATAATTGTATGAATATAGGCAATATATCCCTTTATACATCGAAATGAGCATCTTTGTGAAACATATATTTTTCAACGGATTAGAATGTTTTTTTTTCATTGGGTAGACATTCGACAATTCTACTAAAATACACATTGCTTGAACGAGTCTTTGTTTTGATTACCAACTTTCATTATTTTTCAATGACACAAATAGAAAAAATATTAGCGATTTTTTAAAGTCTTAGCATACCTCCGAATTCACCTAGTTTCGAAATGGTTTATGTCAAAGTTATGTCAAAATGAGTTTGTAATTAAAAGTTATAAGGGAATAAAATTCAGCAGGTATTGGTTTATTATTATCAGGAATTTCCTCGAGATCTGTTCAGTATTATAAAAGTTCTAGGTAAAGAAATAATTAAAATATATCATTTAATATCGTTCAGTGCCTTTACTTATAGCTTTTTTGAACATATTTTGATAGAATTCTGGTGGTAAACCAAAACCTGCTGATTCCAGTGGATTAATCAGAATTTTTATGCAAATTATAAAGTTGGACTAGTGGGGTAATTGAATAGCACATTTTTAAAAGTCCATTCCCTTATAACTTGTTTAATGACAAACGCATTTTGACATAAAACATTTCAAAACTATGTCAATGCAATGGTGTGGTTATATTTTTTCCAAAAAATCGTAAATAATTTTTTTCAATTTTTGACATTTAAAAATAATGAAAGTTTGTACTCAAAATAAAGTCTCTTCAAAGAAANAAATCGCTTAAGATTTAAGATTATTTTTTCAATAAAAGTTGACTGGTTTTATTACAAAGAAATGTGCTATTGTCAACTTTATGTGACTTCTTTTGTAAACTACTCACAGTAGTGGGCGCTATTTTAATTTAAATTTACTATTTAATTTGACAGTTTGATCATTTATAGATTTATAATATATTGAGGCGTAACAGAACTATAACGGAAAGTGATTTCTATGGAGTGATATATTTCTATTTTTTCTATCCTGCTTTTTGGGGGGGTTTCGTTCTAGTCTTTGATTTTTAGTACTGACATGTTTTTTTTTTTATTTAGTTTCAATTTTGGAGATTTTTTCTATAAGGTTTTCTTCCATAGATTTACATGTCGTATACTTATCCTGCTCTTTACGTTGAATAAAAATTGATCTCGCTTGAAATATTTTATTGAATATATTTGAGAAGATGATCAGTTTACAAAATATATTATAATGGCTTAGGGAAAATCCTGTTTAAGTTCTAAAACTGCAGGTAAGTTACTGGAATTATTTTCACCATGGGTCAAAGATATCAGTATCAATTGTAAGTTCAATAATGAAAATAATACCATCTGGGAAATAGTAAACAGCACAACTGGTCAAATATAATGGCAGTTTAGTCATTATTCTTTGTATAACTGTACCAAAGAACTCGATTTCTCCACATCTGCCAGTGTAACCTCAAAAGTGTCGACAATAATCGATTAGATGGGTATATTGAGCCTAGTATTCGAAACATTGAATATTACTGGAGTTTTTTCCCAACACCAAATCGTTATTTTTAACACCTCGACACGTGTTTCGATCAGCAAGTGATCATCTTCAAAGAGGAAGATTAAAACTAGAAACTAATGCGAGCTAACCCTATTAAAAAAAAACTCCAGTAATATTCATTACTACACCAAAGGTTCCAAACAGTGCATCATAAGAATTCGAAACATTGCCAATCTAGTTAGTTTGTATGGAATTGGAGGTGTTAAAAAAAAGACTTCAGATTCTTCAGTTAATGAAATATCAAATTATATATCGAAACCTACCATTACATTTACATTACATTTAGTGATCAAATCTCTAATTGAGCTATAACTTTGGCAAGATATTTGAATTAATTGTCAATATTTCACTTTTGAATTTCCATAGAGATTACAAGGTAATGTTTATATTGCCATTTTTTTTGAAGAATAAAGATACTGGCACATAATACTTGCATAAGTACATTTATGAACTTACACAAGTCCAAGTCAAATTATTGGATTTGTTCTGATTCATTTCTTGTTGGTGTAGCAGTTCCTCAAGGGTCAATACTGGGACTTACACTGTTTGATGTAGAGTGTGAAAAATTGTAACAAAAGGGCTGTTTTCTCGTAGTTGGTTTGGAAAGAAGAGTTTGGATCCTTCGATTTTTATTTGCAAAGGGGAAATATATTCAACCTTAGAACTTCCACCTCCTCAGCGGGGTGTGAAACAAACCTTGAATGGGAAAAAAGTTTTTGGCCTTCCACTTCTCCATCTTGATACAAAAAATGTGGGAATCCTTCGAAGAAAGGAAGCATAGCATAGCATAGCTAGAAATAGCTGTTTCGAGATGGTTTTTTCTTCCAGCTTGTGTCAGAAAGTTACTTCTTTGCATGATCTACATATCTTTGTATAGAGTTAATTTTCGAAGTTTTCTCCATCAAGATGACGAAGTAGAAGGCCAAAAACTTTCTTTCCCAAAAATTAATCTCTCCTAAAAATATACCCTTTCAATTTAAACGCTTGAATATTGAACGAGGTTGGGGGTCAATTTGTATCTCTTTTAAAAGGTCATCTATTTCAACGCTTCCTAATTTTTTTTATTTATTGCCCCAAAAAGTCCAAACGAAGGAAGTTACTCTGTATCAACTTTTAACCAAAAGACTTGTGATGCCGGTGTTATGAATGAAAGTGTCATTCCTTCTAAGCACAGCTTACAACGTGTGATATAACTATATAAGCAAACAGGTAACAAAACTTGTTATAAAACTTCACCTGCTGATTAGTGTGTGAATATTGTCCTATTGCAAGTCTGGAGAAGGACTGTTGAAGCTTACTTCCACATCAAATGCAGTAGTTATAAACGTATTTTCTCTCCACTTTTCTCATATCAGAAATTTAATTGAAAATTAGAAGATAATGACAAAGGAATGGCAGTATAATTGTTCTCAACTGAGTAAACATATCTCTGCATGACATACGTTCGTGTACTCCCATCATGCATCTGATCATTTTTTTTTTGATAATGAATACATTTCTATAATGTGCTGACACTTCCTGAATCTGTCACAGAGTAGAGAAATACCGAGAAGACTGCTAGACACTACACATTGAGTTAGAGAGATGAATACCAGATCATATTCCACTATGTTTATCTAGGGTCGGAGTTTAATCTGATCTGGTCGGTAGCCGGTCGGTTCGACGTGGGTGCTTTGTTCACTCACTCAAATTGACCGCCGTGTTGGTCGATGGTTCAAGCCCCAGGTTGAACGATCGATTTTCACTTGCTATCGTCCAACCCGTGTTAGGAATCACACGTTAAAAGGTAAGACCTCGTTAGTCCTTAGTTCGAACAATTTTCGACTTCTGAGGGTTGTCGTTCGTAGTGGTGCGACAGCTGCTTAACGTAAAACAGATTTTTTTTTTCAACAGATCTGTTTGGTCAAAAGTGTTAACTCTTTTGTAGAAATCAATGTTGCTGTTTTTTGTCATTAGTCTGCTTTTATAATAATGGCATCACATTCTATTTTGGAATTTCAGACTAATTTCTTGATATTTTGGGTATATAATTTTTCACAACCCAAAAGTAAATTAAGGGCAAAGTAAAGTAAGTAAATTTTGTCAATCAATTGAGATGACAAAAGTTGTCTTGATAGTAAAAATTGTAGTGGTAGTTAAAATGTGATGCATTCTGGCACAAGAAAGTTAACCATAAAGTTAATGAACAATGATTGAAAACATCTTTTGAGACTACGAACATTTCAATAACTTGTCATTTTACATCTGTCAAACCAGAAAACTCTTGAGGTTTTTTAAAAATATTTTGAACATTTTTATCATTAAACAATGAATTTGCCAGCTGTAGATTGATAATAGGTACTATTAATATAATTCATAATATAATTCACGAGAACAAATAAACTTTATTTTGGAAACTTGATTCCTGGGTTCTTTATTATTCCCAACTTTTGTGAATGTACTAAATGTGGAAGAAAACCTTCGGTAATTTCCAATAATCTGAAATGAAAACAGTTGTTTATTCCTATGAGGCAGCCATTTGAATTCATGTTGATTCTTTGCTTCGGCTGATGTGTATAAAACTAGGTGTTTGGAAAGTTTACCCCATAGGCGACTCTAAGAAGCTTTCCACCACGTCTATGTCGACTGTCTCTAAGGCTTGAAAAGTGTTGAAGAATGTCATCATAGTCGTAGCTAATGTGGAGGGGAAAACTTGTTAGATAATGAAATTACGTGATTTGTATATTGTTATTGATTTGATACTGTAACTTTTATAAGCACACTTTTGCATTTATATTTGATGTCAGCAGTATCGAATCCAGGAGGCTTATCTTAGTAGTATAATGATTGTAAATAGATGTTTTTACGATTGTACATTTATTGATAATTTTTTAGAATTATTGGTGCATATGCTCATTCAAATTAATATAAGGTGTTCCAACATTATTGCTTTCTTATTCATATGTAGACCCAAAACTGTACCTTTTCCACACGTTTTTTTAATGAAAATCGTTTATTCTTTTATGAACAAATTTACTTCAGCAGGCCTTGGAAAAATGTAATGACATGCTTTTGAGTCGTCCGGCTTTGGTCCTGGAGAATCCGTACAACATAATACATTACAGTAAACATTGTTTCTTTGACGAACGTTATA